TTGTCCAAGTCCATACTACCTCCGAGGGTGTTTATTCCGGAACTTATCGACGAGATCAAACCCATCGATAAAGTCCCGAAACGGTTTCACATCCGGGTTGTTAGTACCTTTTTTGTGCCCTATACGATCTATATCGGGGTCAAGGACGGCATTCAATCCCCCGCTAAAACTACCCGACGAGTCGTCAAGAACGGCGCGATCTGCCGAAACAAAGCAGGCCGCTCGGAATTGGTATTGGGCGCATAAACCCCAATGAGACGTAGAACCTTATCCTTTATGGTAACATCCAGCACGCAAAACCTGCCCGCCGGATCCGCGAAGACAAGGGTACATGCAGCCTTCAAAGACCTGCTCACTAGCCAAGAGACACCCCTCGAACAACCATCAAAACATGCTGAATGAAGGGCGAACCCCTAGACATTATGTCCTCACGATCATGAGAAGAAACCGGGTCTCTTGTAAACAACATATATTCATGATATTCACCCAGACTCGGACCTCAGGCCCCGGGCATTCAAACTAGCTAACCAAAGTGCCATTGTGAAACCGATTAGGTTGCCCTTCAGGATAGAACATGGCTGGGGGTGAGGACACCGACAGCCTGTCCCAAAGAACCAGACATCATCTCAGTATCGAGCGTGTCATCCTGGGACAAGCCGCCGATGTCCGCAGGATAGGTTAGTTTAAGGGCTCTATAGGGATGGATGAACAAAAATAGGGACCCTCCCTTTACATTTTTTTTTGTCTCATCCAAGTTTTCCTCCAGCAGGACGTCAGCTGGGGGCACCACTTTCAAGGACGTTTTTTGCCTCCTTTACCATGCCCCAGATCTCCCGCGTACCCGGGCCAGTTCTTATGACGGTTAGTTGGTTTCGGGCCTTGTGGAAATTTTCCGGCACCTCCACATCCACACCCTTGATGTGCCGGAAATTCCATAAGATTTTCAAACTTCAGGTTCTTCGTTTGCCCGAAGACCTTTTCCGCCTGCTCCCGGGATACGCGGCAGACGTCTTCCCCTGTGAGATATGGTGGCTTGATTTTTTTCTTTTTTTTCTCCGTAGCAGTTTGGGAGTCTGGGCTCCTTACCCTTTTCTTTTGTGGAGACTGGATAGGTGTTGGAATGGGTGTGATGTTTGGAGTGGTGGAGGGTGTCATGCCCGAAGGCGTCTTGACAGGAGAGGGTTTTGCTGAGTGAAAAGTTTTAGATGGTGAATTTGACAAAGATTTTGGTGGATGAGGTTTCATGAAGGGTTTTTTCGATGAAGTAGGGGAAGACGGGGCAGAGAATAGAGGGGCCGGTGCCCCCAGCGATTTTTGGTTTTTCCCCCGCTTAGCCTCCAATTGCTCTTTTAATTTTTTTTAAGTCAAGTATTTTTTTCCAGCTCGGCTCGTTAGCTTTCTGGGTGTCGCTGGCATTTTTTTTTCATAAGGACGCCGAGGCGTCGCCCTCAGAGCTGACAGAGGGAATGGGGCTGTAGGTGACTTTGTCCCTGGTGTCATGTTGGGACTGAGGAACCGCTGTTTGGGTCTTCCCTTGCCCCTAACTACAATGCGCCATTCCCCTCATCCTTCTCCTTAACCACACTAGTGGCAGGCGTTAATTTCGGGGGTAATGAGGATTGGACCCAACCGAGGGACTTTGCCCATCGGTCCGCCTCGCAGCTAGGCCCATTACAGGCGCAGCGGATTTTTCCTTATCGGCCAAGGGGGGATTTTGGTCACCTACGACCGGAACTCCAGGGGCCTTCTTCCCTGGGCAGGAGGAGGAAAGGTGACCCGTCTCTCCACACCTCCAGCAAGTTGGTCGTCTACCAGTCACTATGACCGGCATTTTCCGGTCGCCTAACACCAAACAGTTGGGGACGGACTTGAAGGCCTTTGGTCGAGCATTAACGAAAGTCCATCCCCGTTCAAATTGTCAGAGAGGGCCCCTAAAATTTGGCCGTACTGCATAAAAAATGCAGCCAGGAGCTCTCCCAAAATTTGAGGAGGAACCTCAAAAACGGCCACCCTGGTCCGCCTGCGGCCTTCATACTCGGTTCTTATTATTAAATCTTTCGTAATTAATTCTTTTTTGGCCATGGCCAGGCAATCTTCCGGTGTGGGCAGCAGAATGTCCCACATGAAGAAACCCGTACCCTTAATAATTCTTTGGGGTTTTATCCCCAGGGACAAAAGTGATTTGATCACAGTGTCTTTTGTGGAGCGACAAATCTTTCGGGTTTTCTTGTTGACCACAAAAACGGTCACCATTCTCTTTGAGAACATATCGAGTTCCTGGACAGTATCGACGAACCCATCTTTATTAACAAGATGGGCGTATCCTTTCGCCTTATCCAGGAAATCCGCCATGTTCAGAATACAACTAGGTGGGGACTTCCAGCAAGAGGGCAACTCCTCGGACGTCTTAACTTCTTTTGGCACCTCGTCATTGTTAGAAATATCTCCTTTCTTGGAGATACTTGACTGAGCCGATTTTGGGCTAACGTCAGCCCGCTTTTTCGCAGTTTTCTCAGGCGGGTCGGCGTTGGCAGCCTTCCCAAAAAGGTCTTTTTTAACAACCGACCGACTTTTTTCGTCGGCCATGTTGCTAGAGCGTGGAGACTACCACTAGCGGGAAATTTTCCACAAACACGGGGGGAGGAGTTGGGGAAAAAAATAAAACAAATAAAGAAGGCCTGGATAACCCAGGAAATTAAAATTTAAAAATAAACTAAAAGTAAAATAAAATAAATGACAGAAAGAAAATAAATAGGTAAGACTTTTTTTTAAAAAAAAAAAATAAAAATGGCGCCCGAAGGCAGCCGAAAAAATGAAACGCCTCTCTTTTTTTTTCCAAAAAATTCAAAAATGTACAAAAAGGAAAAAGAAAATAAAAATAAAGGTTTTCGGCCGAAGCCGATAAAGAAAATAAATTAAATGTAAAAACAAACTAGTCAAACCAAAAGGAAGAAAGCGACCGAAATCGCTAAAAAAAAAGGAGAAAAAACGGAAATAAAAACAAAGCTTTCTTTTTCTTTTGTCTTAAACTGTTCTTAAATTTTTAAAACTGAAAAGAAATAAACAAAAATAAGAAAGCAGTCGTCCGGTAAGACTTTGTCAAACCGGACTAAAAAAAAAAAAAAAAAAAATGTGGGCCGAAGCCCAAAAACAAATTAAAACAAACAAAAGAAATGGAAAAAATTAAAAGAATAAAACTTAAATCAATAACTTATCAGAAAAACTTGAAATTTCAGTAAAGTTCTTCCAAATAGGTAGACAGATCACAGGAGCAAACAATCGCGGACCAGAAACAGGCTAAAAAAAATTCAAAAATGACGTTCAAAAATCAACACGGAAGTCAAGAAAAACAGTCCACAAAGGTCTCCTTAAACGGTTGCGTTGCTTTTATTAAAACGCCAGTTTGGGGTTTATAAAACCGAGGCTTTATTTCAGCACACGTTCGACAAGAATTTGTAATTCTTTTTACCTCCTCCACTGAGAAAGGCAAGTTTCTACACCTCACAGCATGAACCATTCGAGTAATGCCCGGGTGACAGAGATTGTTATGTAGCATTCGGAGTTCGTCCCCGCTTGATGCCGTACAGCATGCTCTTGACAGTGTATCAGCTGTTAAGTTCTCCTTGCCAGGTCGGTAGCTGACGTCAAAGGAGAAACAAGATAGCTCAATTCTCCACCTCGCTATTTTCTCATTCTTTATTTTACTCGTAGTTTTAGAGTTAAACATAAAAGCAACTGATTTTTGGTCAGTAATAAGTTTAAAGTGGCTGTGGCACCATGCATCATTAGAAAACTGAAGAGAGATATTCATAAATATATGATTTAATTTATTCTGTTTGTTAACCAGTTGTTAGTTATTTAGAGACGAAGAATAATTGAGTTTTGAGAATAATTCTCTAATTGAATTTAGGCGATCCGAAAGAAAGAAAAAGGAAGAAAAAAAAAATAAAAAGAAAAGAGAGAGAAATAGATGGTACAAAACCCAGTCATAAGCAGACCCGCTTAAAACTAACACAAAACAGGTGTCAAAAGATATTTAGGTCAAAGTATCTGACCGAAATCCACGGAAAATAGAAATTGTTATAACTGGTTGAAGGAATAGAGTTTAGAAATAATGATACGAGACGGGGTAGTGAGCGAATAGGCACACGCGCGATTGATGCATAACAGATGTCGGTCAAGCACCTAACCTACTTTCGTGTCCGTGGAGTATGGGAGTTTGTTATCAATTTGGTTGAAGAAATAAGATTTTAAGGACAATGGAAAAAATATTAATAGATAACGAACGAAAAGGGGTGTCATTGAGATGATAAGTAACCGCTGGGGAAATGTATACGAAAACAAAACATTAATACACGAACCCTGACCATTTCTAGAGTTGAAGATAAGAACCACCCAAGATGATGAGTGGAGAATATTTTCAATTTAGATAATTAAGATTTTGTTAACAGGCCCGAGCGAAAGAAAGAGGTGAAATATTTGTTTTAGCTCGCGGAAGACGCCGACGGGTCGGAAAAAGTCTTTCCTGGAAGTCACAGCTAATTAGCGGCGGGCTGTTTTGACAAATACCGCGTATACGAAAAAGACAATTTAAATTTTGTTTTTTTGGCAAGGTGTTTCTTCCCCAGAACAAAGCCCCGGATTGTCCACGCCCGATTGGAGACGTCACGAGGGAAGATACCGACCAGAGTATCATTAGCCGAGGGCAGTCACATGATACATGAGGGGGAGGAGAGACACCCGACCAGAGTCCCATTGGCTGAGAGCGGTCACGTGGATGTGCGGGGGAGGAGGAAAGATGCTCGACCAGGACCCCATTGGTCGAGAGCGGTCACCTGACATACGAGAGACCAGGGGAAGCGGGTATGCGCCTCCCCAGAGACACTGTAAGGAAGTAGGAGTGAAAGTAAGAGCGATAATGGGAAATCAGAAATAATGCGACTTTTGGAATTATCAGGAGGGCCCTGGCGCCGACAGACCCACCCCAGTTTGTTACGGCGTCAATAAAAGCAGGACCCCAATCGACAGAAGAGTTGCAGGGCGGACGGCGAGACAGTTGCAGGCCGGACAGGCAGAAGAGTTGCAGGGCGGACGGCGAGAGAGTTGCAGGCCGGACAGGCAGAAGAGTTGCAGGGCGGACGGCGAGACAGTTGCAGGCCGGACAGGCAGAAGAGTTGCAGGGCGGACGGCGAGACAGTTGCAGGCCGGACAGGCAGAGCAGTTGGAGTTGGGTTTGCGCCTCGGACGAAGAAGAAGTTAACTTGCAGTTGTGACTAGGAGAAGTTGGAATCACACCAAGCCTATGAAGAGAAATTCGTCCAAGACAAGTCGAAGTGAATAAATTCATCCAAACTCAAGTCGAAGTGAATAAATTCGTCCACCCGAAGCAGAAGAGAAGTTAATTCGCGCACTGACGGCGAGGGAAATCAGCCGTGAACGACTGGTAGAGATCAGCGCCCAGTGTCGAAACCAAACCACACCCCGAAATGCAAATTTCTAGAGAACAAGCAACTCGAAGTCTTAAAGTTGTATGGTAGAAGCTTGGTGCCACAGTCCACAAAAAACGGGTCGGGGAGGTAGGAACAATTTTGTGTAACGAACATTTAGATATAAAAGGTTGTTACCCTTTTTTCAATAATTTTGACCGTGAGTTTTTTTCTTTTACTTGTGTGTTATCACCTCCGTTGAACCCAGCTAGCATACGGCCCCAATCCTGTTTGATCCCGTCTGTCTAAAGATCTAATCACAACGTGGGTAGGCAGACCGGAGATCAGTGCAGCTACCCTAGTAACCAGGCGTTGGAAGCGAGTTGGGGAACGACGAGGTTGGTATTCATCTAACCAAAGGGTTAGAACGTCACACTTGGAGCAGCGAGGAGCGAACAGCTGACGCCGCGGCAAAGACGTCACAACTGGTGCTGTCCGTGACCAGGATATCAGAGCCTGGAGAGCACGTGACGTCACAACTGGTGCCGCGAACGAGATCGAACGACACAGTCGACGCTGCGACCGGAGGGGGGGGCGACGTCACATGGCGTCCGATCAGGTGTCCGATCATTAGTGTCGCCATTTTCTTAATGCCTCGACTATGATGTAGGATTCCTTTTCAATTGCGGGGTGTCGTCGTTCAGCCTGTGAGAGGGTCCTTGAAAAGAAGGCTACAGGACGATCAGCTTGTTTCAAAGAAGCAGCAATAGCACAGTCTGACGCATCCGTTTCAACAACCAGAGGAATATTTTGGTCTATTGCTGTAATTGCAGATTTCACAATATCCTTTTTCAGTCCCTCGAATGCCTCAACGGCTTGATGGGACAGAGGAAACGTCTCTACTTGTGTCAATAGATGTATCTTTTCTGAGAACGAAGCAATCCATTGAGAGTAATGAGCAAACATGCCCATAGCATGTCGAAGGGAAGGCTGGTTGTGAGGGACAGGCATCTGGAGTAAAGGTTTCAATCGATCGATTTCAGTAGGTTTATTTTGTCCAGTCCAAACGAGCATTTGTCGTCGTTTAGGGTAAGGTTGTATTTATCGACGGCGGACATGAACCGTCTGAGATTTTCGTCGTGTTCCTTTCTATTATGGCCACATACGGTGACGTTGTCGATGTACGCAAATGTGCCTTCAGTTTCTCATCCGTTATGATTTGGTCGACTATCCTTTGGAAGCTGGCTACCCCATTCGTAACGCCAAAAGGAATCCTGCGAAATTGATATAGTCGACCGTCTGCCTCGAAAGCAGTGCATGGCTTGTCTCTAGGTCTAATGGCGATCTGATGGTACGCGCTTTTCAAGTCCAGAGTGCTAAACATACGATATTTGGCTATTTCGCCTATCATTTCATCTATCCTGGGTAGTGGGAAGGCGTCCAAAAAGAGTAAATCTATTTATGGTTTGGGGAGTAATCTATAACCATTCTCTTTTTATGGTTGCTAGAAGTAGTTATAACTACCTGAGCCCTCCAGGGTGATTTGCTAGGCTCAATTATACCCTCCTCAAGTAGTCTTTTTATCTCAGAGTCAATGAATTTTTTTATTATAAGAAAAACGTCTGCTTTTTCACTGCTATGGGTTTGCAGTTTTCAGTTAGGTTTTCGAAAAGTGACGGTACTGGATTTTTTGCTGTCGCCAATCCACAAATTTTCAATGCTGGCATTGAACCGCCAAACGGAATTTCAACCTGTGAGTGTTGCTGCAAAAAATCGTGTCCCAGTATTATTTCGCAACAAAGGTTTTTCATTACGGATAATTTAGTGGTTTTATAGGAGACGTCATTAAATAGTAAGTCCACCAAACAATAACCACGTACTTGCGCAGACAATGACGCGTTTGCCATTGTTACTCTGCTGGGTGAGGGACAAAATACAATTTGTTGGTTTTTACCAAGCTTTTTTGATAAAATTTCCTGAGCTCCCGGTATCGAGCAGGGCATTGGTAGACCTCCCGTTAATTTTCACTTTACAATAGTTTTTGAAAGGCAGTCGGGGAGGCGGCTAAAGTTGCAGAAGTATTTTTGACGAGTGGATTTGTATAGAGTTTTAGAAGACTTGCATACCTTTGAAAAATGACCAAGTTTTCCACATTTATGACAACAAGTATCTCTGGCAGGGCATGAGACTCGTAGGTGTTTAGATAAGCCGCAAAAATAGCAAGTGTCCTTTTTAAAGCGGCAGTGACCGATTGTTCTTGAAGCTTCGTCGGACTATCGTCATGAGGGGAGACAGTAAGAACAGGTGGGTTTAACGCGGCGCCCACGGTGTCTGGCTGTAAATAAGAACTAGACTGCTGTATAGCACTTTCGAAGATATAGGCTTGCTCGTAAGCTGTTCTAAGTGTAAGGGTCTTATTCTCAAGAAGACGTTGTCTTATCTGAGTATTGCGTAAGCCGTTAATGAAGGCGTCAAAATGTGTAGCTCTTGGGCCTCTAATGCCGTCATTGGGCAGAAGTTGCAATCTTTGCTCAGTGTCCGAAGGCTCTTATGAAATGGTCCAATGTCTCGCCTGATTCTTGTCGGCGAGTCGCAAGTAGGTGTCTAGAAAATATCTCATTTTGGGGCTTTATGTATGTAGCGTTCAGTACATCGATTGCTTCTTCGTAGGTAACGCAATCCGAGATAATTTTGTTGACTGTGTGAGACAGGTAGTTGGTTAGGAGCGCACGCTTATTGATGGGACGTCCCGGTCTTTCTGAATGTAGAACCTCGATGAAATTTGTAATTGTCTCCCGCCAATGTTTCCAGCACTTGTCGGCTGAATCGCTTTCTGGATCTGTGGTAAGTCGCTCAGGTCGCATAAATTGTTCCATTCTTAATTGAATAAAATGTAATGAAAACAGGACAAGAGATTCTGTCTAGTAATCGTTTATTCAATTAAGAATACTACTACTCATCTGACTTGACAGCGGAAGTATACAGCTTTTATAGCTTGGATTATCTAAGAGGAGATAATCCATATTCACAACAGTTCCAACTTTGTACTTCGCTGCAGTAATGATTCAAGCGTCGTGAAGTCGTTTAGCAAATTTGGTCGTCGTAAATTCTCACTCACTGGGTTCGCTCATACCTTCAATTTATATGTTTTTTTAATCACGTGACTGGCTCCGAAGGCATTGTTTTTTCGTCAGGTCAAAAACTAGGTTGACGTTGTTCGGACGTAGTGGTGAGCAGGTAAATTGTTTTTTTAACCTCTGTTAACCACTCAGAAAGCGCCTTACAAAACTCAGTCTAGAGCCTGATATGTTTTGTGTCGCTTATTGAGAACAATACACGTAAAGATAAATTTAATATTTATTATCCAATGAGGAGTTTAGGTTTTCAGAAACATTTATGAAAATGTGATCCGCTCTTTGCACGAAAATCGACATTTGTGAAAAAGTGGTAGCGGACTGCTAAAATATTCCACCCCCAAATTGAAAGTTTGAAAAGAAAAAAAAAAAATTTCAATATGTATGATACTTCGCAAATTTTGTAGGCCAATGGACATGTCTGCCTGCTCTAGTTGTAGTTTTTGTCGGGGGAGTTTCAGGTTGAATATCCTTCTGCTGGGCGGAAGAATTTTGATCAAACGAGGTCGAAGAATGCTTATCGGCATCAATGAAAGAGGTTTCAACCTGTCAATGCTGACAGTGTTTGTCTTATTATTGATTAAGATGGTAAAATATTTCGGTGCACGGGAAATAACTTGAAAGGACCGGAATATGTCGGTGTGAGAGGTTTTTAACCGCATCTCTGCGTAGAAATACAAACTCACAGTTTTCCAAAGTTTTCGGTACGAAAATTGCTCTATCTGAAATGCGCGTTGCGGTAAATACGAGGTTAGACATGCGTTCTTTTAAGTCCTGAATGAAGTATGTAGATGGTCTTGTCGACACATCTTTTTCCATCATTTGACCGGGGAGTGTAAGTGGGCTCCCAAAAACAAGCTCAGCTGTGGTGCGTTTTAAATCTTCCTTGTCAACACTACGCAGTGCTAGCATTACTAGTGGTAATCTCTCAATCCAGGATCGTGTGTCTTCGCTAGCTGTAAGTGCTGCTTTTAGTTGCCTGTGAAACCTTTCTACCAAACCGTTTGCGCACGGATGGTAAGCTGTAGTTGTTATATGTTTAGTACCCAACAGGTTAGTAAATTCAGCGAAGAGGGTAGACTTGAATTGGGGTCCACGATCTGTAGTAATGACAGAGGGGCATCCAAATGTGGCTATCCACTCACGTAAGATCGTTTGTGCGATAACACTGGCGGTGGTTGATCGCAGGGGTACCACCACTGGCCAACGTGTGAAACGGTCCACTATTGTCAACAAGTATTCGTATCAGTCTACTTCCATTAAGGGACCGACGAGGTCGACGTGGATATATTTAAATCGACCATCCGGTGGTAGAAAAGTGACCAGGAGGAGATCTGGTGTGTTGTTGAACTTTCGACTTCTGGCATTTAATACATGTCTGCGTCCAGTGTTTTATGTCTGCAGACATGTTTGGCCAGACAAATCGTTCAGAAATAAGTTTCGTTGACGCTTTACGGCCTGGATGAGACAGAATGAAAATGGTCGAAAATTTGTCTGCGCATAATATGGGGCACGTAGGGTCTAGGATGTTTAGTGCTAACGTCACAAAACAAGTATGCTGCACTGAAAGGAATTGGTCGTTGCTCAATGCGCAGTGACGTGTCGCTTTTCACTTTTTCTAGGGTGGCATCCCTCTGCTGTTCTCTGGCTAAACATTCAAAATCTAATGGCTGTAACTTGACGGAATTCATAGTAGCTCTATAAAGGATGTCAGCAACCATTTTGTCGTTCCCGTTAATGTGACGAATATCGGACGTAAACTGTACGATGTAGTCCAGCTATCTTATGTCACGAGGGTTATACTCATCTGTTTTAGAGTGCAAGGCATACACTAAAGGTTTATGGTCAGTGAAAATTATAAAATTCCTGCCCTCTAACAGATGTCGGAAATGACGAACAGATAGATATATAGCATAGTTCACGTGAAAAAGCACTATATTTGCGTTGTGCTGAATTTAATTTCACGGAAAAGAATGAAAGTGGTTTCTTCACGTTATCACTCTCCTGGTGTAATACGGCTCCTACACTATCAGCAGATGCGTCAGTAGTAAGAGTAAGTGTCGCTTCTTCACTATCCGAAACGTAAGATAGTGTGGTGTAATTAGCCAGGGCTTCCTTGGCATTATTAAATGCTGAAAGTGCATCGCCAGTCAGAATAATCTTGCTGTTCTTCTTTTTTTGATTTTGTAACAGGTTTGTCAACGGAATCAGCACTTGCGAACAATGAGGTATGAATTGCCTCTAATAGTTTACTAAACCGAGAAATCTACGTAGCTGTCGCAGTGTAGTTGGTTGTGGGAAGTTTTGAATAGCTTCGACCTTTTGAGAGACGGGTGTAATGCCTTTCCCATCTATTTCATGACCAAGAAAGATCAGCTTCGGTACAGCAAATTCACACTTAGTAGGATTAATTTTAAGTCCGAAGTGCTTCAATCGCCGGAAAACCTGTTCCACGTGATCGGTGTGTTCTTCGATGTTCCTACTCGCAATCAGAACATCGTCAATATAGGCGAATGTGAAATGCAAGCCACGCAGTACTTCGTCTATAAGTCGCTGGAAGGACTGCGCTGCATTTCTTAGACCGAAGGGCATTCTAGTAAACTCGAATAAAGCGAACAGTGTAGTCACAGCAGTTTTGTGGATGTCGTCTTTTGCCACAGGGATTTGATGAAAAGCCTTTCTCAAGTCCAACTTCGTAAAAATTGACGCTCCTTGTAACGTGATTGCAAAATCTTGTAGATGCGGGATCGGATATTTGTCCGGGACTGTTTGAGCATTAAGTCGCCGAAAATCACCGCATGGTCTCCAAGCTCCTGTCTCCGATTTCGACACCATATGCAAAGGTGAAGCATATGGGCTGGATGATGGACGGATTATCCCTAAGTCCAACAGATGCTGAAACTCAATCTTAGCATTTTTATATTTATCGGGATGTAAACGCCGCGGAGATGAATGCACGGGAAGACCAGTCGTCTGTATACTGTGTTCCGCATTGTGTAAGATTGGTTCCATATAGTTGAACGGTGTCAGAATTTCTGGATATTTCCGTAATAAATGTTGAAGACCGTTGGCAATAGGTAGGGCTGTACTGATACCTGCCGTTGTCAATTTTGAAGTAATTCCCTTAATTGAAATATCGGTATGTTTATCTTCTAAGGACCGGGAAGACATGTTCACGTTGAGTTTAAAATGGGCTAGGAAATCAGCTCCTAGAATAGGTGACTTTACTTGCGCGATGGTAAATACCCAAGTAAACGATTTACGTAATCCCAAGTTTAATGTAAGTGATTTTTCACCATAGGTTTCTATTCGAGAACCGTTGGCAGCTTGGAGGTTGTATGACGTAGCTTTTGTCGCCATGTTTGTTGTGGGCGGAATCACACTAACTTGTGCGCCCGTGTCAACCAAGAATAGGTAACCAGAATTGGCGTCCTTAACATAAAAAAGACGGTTAATATTTTTTCCCCGGTAGCGAACGCCGTCTTCACTTGCTGCCGGGAACGTCGTTTCCCGCTTGCTGTGTCGATCTTCTGCCAAATAAATTCGCGCTAAACCTGCAAGGTTTACGGCATTTATGTGCCTGGTGGCCAAAGTTAGCATGATACCAACATACGTTGTCCTGATTGTTTTCCCTATTTCGTGACAACGATCTGTGTCTATGTCGTCGTGATTCAGGAGGACTTCGATTAGTGAAATTGCATTTCTGTTGTTGCATAGTCTTCTGAATATCCTGTACCTGAATTGAAAGTTGTGCTAACCTGTCACTGAGTTTACGCATGTCGTCTGCGTCAACCACTGATGCTACTGGCTGTCTCTGGGTCGCAGCATACACAGGACTAGCTGGCTGGTTATCAGCTATTTTATCAGCTATTTCAGCTAGTTTTTGTAGTTCAATTTCGTCTGGGAGGGAAGCCAAAATTTGGATGGTGTTCCCGTGAATCTTGTCCAGCCAAAGCTGTCTTAACACTGTGTCAGACATTGTGTTGCTTCCTAATAGTACCCGCATTTTACGCAGTAGTTGTGACTGTTTACTTTGTCCCAAGCTCAAGTTATTGAAGAGGTCACGCAGCTTTTGTTCCTCAGATTGACCAGTTCTATGGAGTATAGCTTCTTTTAGGGTATCATAAGATTTATCAGATGGCATCTCATCCAGGAGATCCGAAACCTCAATCGCTACTTCCGCTGGTAGCTTCTCCACAACGTAAGCATATCGGGAAGTTTGGGAAGTTATCCACTTGGCGTTGAATATAGCAGTTAACTGTGCGAACCAAACTTGAACATTGACATTGTTGTAAGCTGGTAAATTAACAGTTATTGCGGCTTCTGTGTGTGCATCAGTTTGCTCAGCCATAATGTTATTTCTTCGACGCGGAATTAGGATACCAGTTGGTGATGTGGTGATTCAAGTTTTTTAAACGACGGCACAAAAATCAAAGTTGCCAATGTGAAATTTGAGTACGTCTCCTATAAAATATCGCTCAATACTTTTCCATGCACACTCGTATTCGGGGTCACTATTTATGTAGTGGTATTGACGGAATAAATCAACCCACACATTTTTTTACTTTACGAATGTGCAAGAAAATAAAAAGCAAACAAGAGAAAAAATACAAGAAAATAACTTTTCTTAACAGGAACAATATTTATATTTATAAATGACAACAGTTTTAAAATAACAATAATAAGAGTTACTTCCCTTTGACTGGGCTAATGTTTTTACTAATAAAAAAACCATATTTTTTATCCGAGTTCACAAAAACTGAATTAACATGTAGTTCAAAATGTTCACTGAAAGAGAATCTTATAAAGCTGAAAATATGTTAATAAACTTTTAGCTTTAAAGAAGTTGGAGAAGTGAATGTTCCGTTTGTTTTTGTTGCTCGTAGTTTTAAATGTATTGTTCGTAAATGTTTGTACTTACAGTTTCGTCTGATTCAATAACGTAATTGAATAAGTTTTACAAAATTTTAGAAGTTGGTGAGTGAAATCTTTCGTTGAAATTGTAGCTTGATTTTCAGTGAAGTTCTTTCATGTTAAAGAATTTTAGGTTCCAACTTTGTACTTCGCTGCAGTAATGATTCAAGGGTCGTGAAGTCGTTTAGCAAATTTGGTCGTCGTAAATTCTCATTATTTATTGTACTATGTACAAATGTGGCACAAGGCCGAAAAGGGGGCTGGGGAAAAGGACAGTCATCACTTGTCTTAAAATAAAACTTAGCTAGCCACAACCACTGACCCTATCATACTAAACAATATTCCTATCACCAAAACAACACATTTAGCCATACCTTTCTTACTACATCCACCAAAATGCCTCTTTGACTCAATGTAAAACCTAAATACACCCCTTATGTACAAATATTGTCTGTGGGGGAGGGGGCATAAAAACAACAATTTTTTAAAAGATCCCCAATGAGTATATACAATATGTCAAAATATATTTACAATAAACTAAACAAAATTAGTGTTAGTAATAAAACCCCCTACAAACTTTGAATGTGGCAGAAATATCAGTTAACCGGACGAAATCGATGCAGGACTATAAAAATAAGGACACATTCAAACCGTCAAGCACTCACACAAGCACTCACTCATCCATACACAACAACAAATACGAAAGCACACGCACGAAACGAAAGGCGCCTGCATCCACCAGAGAACTGACATCACTGACCACCTAAACGAGGGAGGGACGGGGAGTTAAACTAAAGGAAAAAAAAAAGTGGGGACAGAAATAAAAGGGGACCAATGAGCAAACACACCCTAGCTAAGTTTATCAGAACAGGAAAGAAAAACTAAACGAAAAATATAAAATCCTACTCTAACCTAAATTTTTGGGAAGGGTTGCCCATGTTCAACCCAGGAAAACAATATCCTGATGCCTAACCGACATCAAAATGCTACTCCAAGTCATCCCTTTACACGGCACAAACGCGCAAGATTCACCCACCTTTTGCTGAATTCTGATGAGGTGAGCCGCCGCCTTCTGTTCCTAATGACTTTAAGCTGATGCTTAAAGTACAAGATGAGTTGGGAAGAGGTGAACTTCTCGCCCTCATGGAATCCCTTCTGACGCGTCGTCCAAATCACGACTCTCATAACCCCTAGTAAGCAACAGAACACACAGTGTTCAGCCTTCGTCAATTGCGGCACCACATTGCTACAAACAGAACTGGCTTCAAGGACAAAAAACTTTCCCTGCAACATGCGAACCATGAGGCCTTCAACAAACTTGCACAACGGCACTACCGCCTTGCACCGAAAAAAGGGGTGACCAATGGTCTCGACTTCCCCAGTACAGCGACGACAGTTTGGATATTTCTCCAAGCCTGCTGCACAGAGTCTCTTGCCGACCCAGAGGGCTTCACGAATCACCAGCCAGGTGAGTGATGCCTCATCGTTATTGAGGCATTTCAACCCAGGCGTCCAAGGCCATATCGAGCGAGCCTCCTGCTTCGTAAGACCGAGCTCGCCAATTAGATCATCTTGTGCGGCCCCACATAGTAATATTTGATACAATGCCTTCCGAGACAACGTCAAAAAAAAAAAAAAAACGCTGAGACAAAAAGGAAAAACAAAGAAAATACGAAAATATGCAAAATATACAGAGCTAGCTACAATTTAACAAGATGGCCGACACCAAAACAAATAAACAATAGAAAATAAATAGAAAAACGTTAGAACAAAATAAATGGACAAATATATGTACAAATAGGCAGTAAATAAAGGTTTAAAAATTAGACAAATATACAATACAAAATGGAAAAGAAAAAACACGAAAAACTTAAAAGGTATTAAAAAGGAAAGAAAAAAGAATTATTAACGGTACGTCAACGCACAGACAGGGGTTACAGAACAAACAAAAAAAAACGGAGATATAATTAAAGGAGAAATAAGAGAAAATGAAAAAGACAGAAAGGAAATTTAAAATAAAACGAATAAACAAAAGTTAACGTAGATAATTTTTTCTTTCTTTTTTTTTTAAAAAAGAGGAGGGTAAAAAAAGGAAAAGAATAAAAATCGAAATCTTTTCAAAAAAATTCGTAAGAACACAAATCAAATAAAATAATAAAAGACAAACTTAACAAAAAAACGTTCAACAAGCAATCAATATGAGGAACAAACGGGAGTCAGAAAACAGTCCAACAAAGGTCGTCGTCAATTCTCACTCACTGGGTTCGCTCGTACCTTCAATTTATATGTTTTTTTTAACCTCGTGACTGGCTCCGAAGGCATTGTTTTTTCGTCAGGTCAAAAACTAAGTTGACGTTGTTCGGACGTAGTGGTGAGCAGGTAAATTGTTTTTTTAACCTCTGTTAACCATTCAGAAAGCGCCTTACAAAACTCAGTCTAGAGCCTGATATGTTTTGTGTCGCTTATTGAGAACAATACACGTAAAGATAAATTTAATATTTATTATCCAATGAGGAGTTTAGGTTTTCAGAAACATTGATGAAAATGTGATCCGCTCTTTGCACGAAAATCGACATTTGGGAAAAAGTGGTAGCGGACAGCTAAATGAATCTATTCAAATTACTATTAAACAAAATGGAAAGTGGACAGCTTTGTCTGAGACATCGAAAAATCTCCAACAAAAAAATTCTTTGACGTCCAAGACATAGAAATAATTTATAAATAATGTTTTGATAGATTTGAATCCATTCAAATTACTATTAAACAAAATGGAAAGTGGACAGCCTGATCTTGGACATATTGAAAAATCGACATCAAAGGATTTTCTTTGATGTCAAAGATATAGAAATAATTTATAAACACAAAATTAGGTATCGGGAAAATTATCGTTTTGTATAAATTACCGATCACAGGCCTATTGTCGTCGGTATATAGAAAGGAATGATAAATAGATTTTTATCAAAGAATGCATTGTTTTGAATAATTGACAGCTTCGTTTGAAAGTCACTGTCGTTTCTCTGTTATACGAAAAAATAATTGAGATGAATACTGATGAGTGCTGAGGTGCGGTCGGAGTCTGGTGTAATATATAAAAACAGAACGCTTAAGCAACCCAGCATTTGGCGAGATTGACGGCAAGATAAGCACATGCTTCGGACGTAACACCAGCGGCTAATAAAAGATAATACAGAGTGCGATGGATAAATTGTCGTCTAAATGATGCAAAAATGAAATAACACTGACATCGCACTTTAACAGATATATTTACCGAAATTAAACAAAAATATCTTGAAATACTAAAGAAATAAATTTATATAATGAAATCGCCATTAGATTCAACCACAAACACCAGACGACTTCAGAATCTCCTGCAACTCTTCTGGACGGTCTCCTTGTTTAAGTTGGTGAATGCTGCCATAATCTTTGCCTCCAGTTCATGTTTGGTGTTACAAAAAGTTTCATTCGTCTGTCGCTCAACTGCACTAAACACATAATAATCAAAGTGGGTGCAATTTGCGGATCTAGGTGGACTGGTGTAAGGGTTGATGAAGTCACAGAAATTGCATGACAGCCATGACAGAGTTGTCCTGCTTGTGTGACATGGTGCAGATACATTTCGCCAGACACAAGGGTTTTATCATAGCTATCCGCTTTCTACATTAAGTTTAATTGATATAGGTCTTTGAGGAAATCATTTCTAGAAGCCTCATTGGTTTAGAGTTTAATTGTGATGTCTAAATATGTTGTATAATCATTTTATCTACATCAAGTTTAATTGCTATAGGTCTTTGAGGAAATCATTTCTAGAAGTGTCATTATTTAAGAGTTTAATTGTGATATCTAAAAATCTTTTATCATCATTTTATCTACATTAAGTTTAAATGCTATAGGTCTTTGAGTAAATCATTTGTAAAAGCCTCATTCTTATAGAGTTTAATTGTGATGTCTAAAATGTCTTATAATCATTTTATCTACATTAAGTTTAAATACTATAGGTCTTTGAGGAGATCATTTCTAGATGCCTCATTATTTAAGAGCTTAATTGTGATGTCTAAATATGTTTCA